TAGATAGATAGATAGATAGATAGATAGATAGATGGATAGATAGAGCTGCTGTGTGTGGCTGAATGCCTGAAAGACATCTTCTGCCTCCATTTATCTGTTTACTACAGTCTGTTGAATTCATGTGGATTTAAAGACATTTGCATTAGTGGAAAAAATTGGAAATTTTGGGTGGAAATATAAAAAAAAAAAGTGTAATGACCAAAACTATGGCGACCCCCATGCAGTACCTCCAGGACCCCCTAGGGGTCGCAGACCCCCTGTTGAAGACCTCCGGACTGGAAGAACTAGAAGAAATATTTTTTAAGAGCCAGAATAATAAAGTAATACCGTAACTTGTCGTGAGTTCATGCACAGTGTTGGTTCATATGCGGTTTGTTTTATGCACCAGTAAAAAAAAGCATTTACCTACTGTATGTCTTGAATTTAGGAAAGAAAATCCTATTTTCTTTATCACTAAATACGGGTTCACAGTGAATGTGGGTATGAGGCTGGTGGGTTTAGAACCGCGGCTCTAAGAGGGACCCGCCCCCCCAGGCCCGTCCTGACCCGTGATTGGCTGTGTGTGTTCCAGACGAGGTGTTCAGGAACCAGGACCCCGGGATGCCGGCGTCCAGCCGGACGGTGTCGGCCGCCGACGTCGTTCTCTACGGGGTCAACATCGTCCTCCCACTCATGTCTCAGGACCTGCTGAAGGTAAGAACCAGCAGCTTACCAAATTTAGACACATTTAGTTTATAAGTTTTAGATACAAAACTGTGAATTCAGTCCGGATTAACATTTATCCAGACTGATAAAAAGATAAAAGGTTTAAAGCTTAATTTCTGAGCACTTGGTTTATTATAGATGAGGAGATCTGAGATGTCTTGCCACACATTGCTGTCATGGTAGAGGTAGTTCATTGAGGTATGCATATTTTTAAATTCGGGCTACGGCACCCATCCTCTCCTCCCCCCCCTCCTCCCCCATTTCCTCCCAGTTCCCCTCGCTGTGCAACCAGTACTACAAGCTCATCACCTTCATCTGCGAGATCTTCCCAGAGAAGATTCCTCAGCTGCCCGAAGACCTCTTCAAGAGCCTGATGTTCTCGCTGGAGCTGGGAATGACCTCGTATCCTGTTGGGCTGGGGGGGGTTAAAAAGCTCCAGGGGTCAAAGTTCAACGTAAAAGCCGTCGGGATGCAGCAGTCTGTCTGCTCCCTGATGCGGTTTCTACTGACAGGAGATTCAAACAAACCAGCCGCTCACAGACCAGAACAGCCAAGCTTTTCTCAACTTATTATGTTTTATTATTATTATTTGCTTCTGCCTCAGTAGGTTTACAAATCACCTGTAAAGGATGTCCACAGATAAAGTGAGGGGCTCTTTTTAAAGCAGGACCCCCCCAAACCAAGCATGTCTAACAAAGACTGACACAATCAGATTGTTTTTAGGGCTCCAGATGTGAATAAATCTTATAAATCTGGCTGCTTCCTCTGAATGACTGTAGATAGTTTTGTTTATCACAGTGAGGCTCTCAAACCAACACTGTGCTTTTCAATAGTTTAAATAGCCATAGTTGTTTCCATTTTATTTATTTATTTGAATAGGGACAAAGCACATTACTGAACATCAGTATAAATACAAATGTAAACATGCCGGATTATAGCTACAAAGCTAGTTTTTATCCGTAGTCCCTAGGCAGGCAAATACATGAGAAAGAACATATAATAAAAAATATAAGCATCACAAGTAAATGTTAAGATTTTAGTGGTCACATGACTGGTTTGCTTTCATCCATAATTTGAGTTGAGCTCTAAAGCTCTTAGAAAAAAGGAGAACAGACCCATTTTAGAAGAAAAGAATGAGGGCTTCTCTCCTCTTTGGATCAGAATAAAACGTGCATTGTGTAGTTTGTGCTCCTTAACGTCTGTTTTCAGGATGAGTTCAGAAATCAGCCAGCTTTGTTTGGAGGCTCTGTCTCCTCTGGCTGAGCAGTGCGCCAAAAACCAGGAGAAGGACTCGCCGCTCTTCATCGCCACCCGGCACTTCCTCAAGGTGAGTCGCACGCCTGGAGCCTGAAAACATTAAGGCAGTCTATTGGAAACCCACAAATCAGGAGGAGTCTGGGCTGTCCCAGAAGATTTTGACATATTTGGACATTTGCCTTCATTCTTCTTTTTAAACCTTTTCCTGTTCAGCATTGTGGCAGCAGAACTGAAATCTGAGCACCGTTCAATGCTGAACAAAATTGCTTTTCCAAGGGAGGGTATGCTAGTGAGAAGCCCCCCTCGATTACCCAAAAATGCCTTATTTATTCATTTTTGTTACCAAACTTATGTGTCTAATAATGCCGTACCTGACAGAGGGAAGAAAGAAGAGCAGTGGAAAGGAGAGAGATCTTTTAGACAGAAAGATAAAGGGGGAAAAAAAAGAAAAGAAAAAAGAGAACAAGACCAAACAACCAGCTGCTATGTCTGTAAAAAGGACTCTGATCCTTGTGGGAAATCCGGGTGGAGAACCTGTAGGAGCTCCTGCAAAAGGACTCAGGGAAGACAAAAGAACAAACAACCAACAAAAGCAACAACATGGTAGCAGGACATTAGTGAGTTTCTCTGAATTGTGGAGTAACTGGACAGGAGCTTAAGGAGGCGAATGTCCGGGTATCCGACTGTGTGAGAGAATGAGAACCCTCAGCCCAGGTTTCCCAGATTGTGCATTTGACTTCATTCTTGAGTCGTGACGATGTGTTCAATGTTGAGCTGAAGGATCCGTTTTTTTTCCCCTCTCCGTGCCTCCAGTTGGTGTTCGACATGCTGGTGCTGCAGAAACACAACACGGAGATGACGGTGGCAGCTGGAGAAGCCCTCTACACACTCGTGTGCCTGCACCAGGTGAGCTCCCCCCTGGTTTTCTGTAAAACGTTCCCACTTCTGGATTTTATTAGAGCTGAGCGACAATCTAAAATTTTGTAATCGTCTGACCAAAGAAATATAGATTTTGTGGCGTTTTGTGGCGTTCCCAGACTTGCAAAGCGTTCCCATTTCTTGATTTTATTAGAGCAGAGCGACACTGAGATGTTTAGTTTTAACTCGTCTAAACAAAAAAGCCAGTTTTTGTGGCGTTATCAGACCTGTAAAACGTTCCCATTTCTGGATTTTATAAGGCCAGAGCAACACTCTAAAATGTTTTGCTTTTACCCGTCTGTGCAAAAAAAGCCAGTTTTTGTGGCGTTTTGTGGCGTTATCAGACTTGTAAAACGTTTCCATTTCTGGATTTTATTAGAGCAGGGCGACAGTCTGAAATGTTTAGTTTTTACTCATCTGAGCAAAAAAAGCCAGTTTTTCTGACCGGACTCTTTCCCAGGCGGAGTACTCTGAGCTGGTGGAGGCCCTGCTCTCCTCCCAGAGGGACGCCGTCATCTACCAGCGGCTGGCCGACGCCTTCAACAAGCTGACGGCCAGCAGCACGCCGCCCGCCATGGACCGCAAGCAGAAGGTCGCCTTCCTCAAGAGCCTGGAGGAGTTCGTGGCCAACGTGGGCGGCCTGCTCTGCGTCAAGTAACCACTGGAACCAGACCTGACCTCGAATCGCCCCCCCCCCCGCCCCGAAAAGCAACCAAACAAAGATGGCCCCCCCCCGGCCCCAGGGGCCCCGGGGGGGGGGGCCTCCCCCCCCCCCCCCCCCCCCGGTTTTTCCCCCCCCCCCCCCCGCCGGGCACCCTTTTTTTTCCCCCCCCCCCCCCCTGCCGCGCCCTGATTGGCAGAGCTAATGATGATGACGGCGGTAACCATGGAGACTGAACTGCAAAAAGCAGACGGACTCGTCCAGAGACGTCTGCCCCGTCGAGCTGAGAGGGAGAGGAGGTCTGGGAGAAAGTAGCTCTTCCTCTTCCTCCTATTTCTGATCAGGAGCGTAAAGGCCCCCCCTCCTGCCCCCCCC